CACCATCAGTAAGATCGTGTCGGGGACTACCACATTCTCTTTGGAGTCGCGGTTGAAGATTTGACTACACCATCAGTAAGATCGTGTCGCGGGCTACCACATTCCCTTTGACGGTACCCACTTCCGACGTCCCGTTCACTCGCAATTCACTTCTATTGGCGGCACGAGAAAGAGAGACAGCGATTCGAGATTTACGAAACGTTAAAACGCGTGAGTTCGCAACGGAAGGTAAAAGGCGCCCGAAGTTGACTACTTTTCGAAGACGCGCGCGCGCGCGCCTCGCAAAAGGTCGTTAATTTCGCCCCTAGGACAAAAAACAAAATTCCGCAGGAGTTGTGCGCGTTTACAACATCTTTCCGACGACACCAATTTGAAAAGAATCGGACCAAAACTGTAGTAGAAGATAGGAAAAAACTGAAAAACCTTCACGTTAGTATACTACGCTCGAGGATGACTCCCAGATGTCGCCAACCCCACATCATGTAGCCATGTCCCTAAGGTTGACAAATTTCACGGCCCCGTAGATACACGTACACCCGTTGCCTTTCTACAAGAGTTCTTCTACGCGCCCACATTTGCTGCCAGCCACCCAGCCAGCCAGCCGGCCAGCCAGCCAGCCAGCCAGCCAGCCAAAGTGAGATTAAAAGCTACTTTTTACAAATAAATTTGCAAAAATGCGCTAAAAAAATGCAATTATGACGTCAAAATCTAGCAAAAATGACGTAAAAATGTAAAAAGATGACATAAATTTTATATCCATAGTAGACCATTTTACTGTTACTTTTAAAATACAGAATCAGGAATCAGCATCTGCTAAATTCTGTAACCTAAAAAAATAAATAAAAGTAATTGAGAATGACCCATTCCTCATAAATGGCAAAAAATGCAAAAAAACATGCACCAACAAGTTGATGTCATTTGATTCAATTTATCCTGAAACGCGTTTATGTACACTACCTATAACAGAGCAATGTCTCAAGAGTTTCAGAAAAAAATATGCGAAGTCCTAGCCCTACTAATTAACAAAACGCAATCAATGTAAAACCTTTAAACATTAGATAAATAATAAAGAATACATTATACCACAGACATAGTATAATATGTTGTCTGTGATTATACCTACATCAAGGATGCTATATAAATTATAATATATAGCATCCTTGATCTACATATTCCGGATCACTTTGGATATGTTTAGAATATTCTTTTAAACATACTAGCTAGGGTATACATATATTTCAAATGTCTATAGAATGATCAATGAATTGAATGAATGAACGTTCGTCTGGCATATTCTAAGGGAATATTCTGTTACAAAAATCCGTTGATGTAGGGGGAATATTGTCACAATCACGTGTCAATTTACAATACACAAGATGTCTCCTTTTTGGGTAACTAGAATATACCTAGTTCGTTTTCGTTAGCAGGGCCGGATTGATGGGTGTCGCCCCCTCCCCCTCCAGTCCCCCGTGACCATAGTCGGTAAAATTTCAGTTAGTCTGCACTCGGCAAATGTCTATTCAAATTAAATGAAATTTGGTTGTGAAAATGTTTTCTCGCCTTATTGTATCTCAGAGAACTGTATTCCTGTGTAGAATATGTTTATCGTTTCCTGTTATATAATAAAGAGTTTAGTTTCAACACACATCCCTTACGTATAGGTACCTACTTAGGACGGATTTAAAGAAAATACGGTACGATTCAACTATTCAAATCAGCGACGTCGGAAGGGAATAACGGTTGGGAGGGGGGGGGGGGTAAAAATCAGCGACCATGGAGTCTGAACGGTCCCTCCCATGCAAAATTGTGTACGAATTAATGCATAGTGGGTTTTTTAAGTGACCCTGAAACCTATTTATTTAATCAATCAAATAATGTATTTTTGAAAGAAAAGTTTTAAACAAAAGTAAAAAAGTGTCGGAGGATATCTAGTGATATGCAACTGAGCAACTCAGAAATACTTTACCCGATTGAGAAAACCATAGCCATAGATCATTAATATTTTATTTAAAAAATAATAAAGAACTAGTATCTACAAAAGTTACAAAAATGTTGTTCCTTATTGTTGCACTATTGAGCATTGTAAAGAAAAGCAAGTATAAAAATGATCAAAGTCCTCGTGTGAGATCGAAGGGACTTCAGCGCATTTTTGTGTGGCAGATCAGTGTTTTATTAGCCAATATTGACTCCACCATCAATAAGATCTTGCCGAAAGCTACCACGTTCACTTTGTCGGTACCATTTTCTCACTTACCGTGCACTCGCAATTCGCGTTTGAAGTTTCGACTCCACCATCAGTAAGATCTCGTCGGGGGTTACCACATTCCCTTTGTCGATACACAGTTCCGACGTCCCGTTCATTCGTAATTCACATTTTGGTAGATTTCGCTAAAATCCCGGCATAAAATCGTATTCAACTTTTGGGTACTTCACATAGCTCGACCTTCTATTAGTGACACGAGAAAGAGAGACCGCGATTCGCGCTGTAAGAAACTTTTGGGCGCCCAAAGTCGACTACCCCTCGAAGCGCGCCGCGCAAAAGGTGGTTTATTTCGCCCCTAGGAAAAAAAAACAAAATTCCGCCACGCAGGAGTTGTGCGCGTTGACAAGATCTTCCCGACGACACCAATTTGAAAACAATCGGAGAAAAACTGTAGAAGAAGATAGATAAAAACTGAAAAATCTCCAGGTTAGTATAATACGCTCGGGGATGGCGTCCAGATGTCGTCGACTCCAAATCTTGTAGCCCCATCCCTAACGTTCTTAATTACACGGCCCCGATAGTTACATGTACACTCCTTGTCTTTTTACAAGCGTTTTTCTACGGGCGCGCATTTACTGCCAGCCAGCCAGCCAGCCAAAGTGAGATTAAAAGCTACTTTTTACAAAAAAAAATTTTTGCAAAAATGCGCTAAAAAATTAAATATGTATATCCAAAAATTTTTCGCCTTTCCGCAGTTTTGCTGGCAAATTCTTTCAATATATCCTCTACTTCTACACCGTTTGTAATTTCTGCATGCACATGCAGTAGAAGAAGTGTTAAGTCGCTTTTGAGTGATTTATCTACTCATTCTTAGAGGGGGCGCGGCCCCCCTTGTGTAAAAACTGAGGGGGCGACTCTGGCCCATACTTCCGACATCGCTGGTTTAAATAGTTTATAATTGACATGACGGTGTCCGTTACAGTAACTTATCTTTGTTGTGTTCAATGACTAATTGTACCATCATGAACTATGAACATGAATCGTACCTATTGAATCGCTCTCTGACAAAGTAAATTTAGAAAGTACCTAACAAAATAACAGTGAATAAGTTAAGTCGATTAAGTTAAACATTTTTCAGATTTTATATTTGGATAAAAGAGTTTGTTGACATTCTGTTTAGAAATTGATAAGAAAAGGATGAAGTCTGTAGATACACGCAATCGTGCGCCATATAGTTCATATGTTTGATAATTCGACATTATAACATTCCATCATTGTGTTCCGTAGTAGATGCTGATAACGTGATTAATTAGTAATAACTAATAAGCTTATTCTCGCCTCTACTGTAGACAAACGATACCTACCATTCTTTGTACCTACCCAATTTACTTTACATTTACATAAACTACCTATACAAAAAAGTTGCATTAAAAAAAGCGGCAGAGCACCTTGGTGTGACCCCACGGAGTCATTGGATTTGACTTATTTTCAATTGGCTTGTCACATGGGGGGTCACTATTTAAGATTTAAAAGTTGGGGTGGCTGGGGCGCAGGGGGTTGGAGGGGGTGCGTCGCCAACTATGTCATTGTGATTCCTCCTCCGAATTACCGAAACGGATATTGACTTTTTAAAATATCTCGTTTATTTACTAAGGCATGGGGGGCGGTACGTTTTCAAATTGCCACCCTGTATGTTAACTGTGAAAAGTGTGAACCGAATAGGTTCAAGCGTTTGACAGGGACAAAGAAGCGTGATCCCACGGGGTCATTGGATTGGACCCATTTTCAATAGACGTATTACATGTGGCATATAGGTCAACTGTGCAAAGTTTGAACCAAATCGGTCCAAGCGTTTGGCAGTGTTCACGAACAGACGGACACATCGACTCCCCTATAAAGCTTGCATCGCTTTGCTCTGCTGCTTAATAAACGCCCATCCTTCCCTAAGGGAATAATGGGTGGCATTATACCGAACAAACCATAAGTATAATACTCACATTATTATTAGCACAGATTTAATTTAAATCTCTGATATTAGTCGTAGATAAAATAACATCCCCTACTCTCCCGACCACCCCATTTCAATGGTTCCCATCTAAGAAATATACATAGTTAGTTTAGTACATGTAGTTAATGTTGGACTTGGCTTTTTCTTCGTACAGGTCAACCACAGTAACTGTGCACTGAAATTAAATTGTGAACATTTCTAATCGTTTTTGTAATAATCATGACCGTAGTTCGAAAAAGCAGAAGAATAAGCCCGAAAAACCTCGTTCATTTTGCCAAACGGGCTCAGATACAAACGGCGCATTTACCAATTAAATATACAATAAAAAGATATCAACAAAAACACTGTATTATGTGGTGGAGGAACTAGGATTTAGGAACATATACATACATATTTACACACATCAGCGAACAAAAAGAGCGATCGCTAAAGATTCATTTCATTCCCCTATTAATTATTGCTAGGTAAGGAGCAGGAGATACTTTTATGTATGTTTATGTATCTATTTTATCCAAGTCCAAGCATATAAACACGAAAGTGGGCGAAGAGCTATAATCTAAAGAGTGAGTAGGTAAGAGCTTTTTGAGGGCGGAGGACTCAGCTTCTACTTTCAATGATCACAGAACTAGAAGTATATATTTAATTTTACGTGTTACATGCCTCCACGGTGATACAATAAATAAAATTACGTTTAAAAATAACGACTTTAATTAATATCGATTTAAATAGACGGACACGTGTTGGCAGTTGAAGGTAGCGCGTGCGCTCCCATTTAACATCTCGCATTGATAGTGTTACACTTATAAGCCAGAACATTTTTATTGCCGACTAGAAAACTCCTCTGTGATTTGATTACAAACAGTTCGGTTTCGGCGGGGAAAAAGTGCTGTCGAGCCGCGAGTGTGAACTGATTGTTTGAGAAACCGGAATATCAACATGACATGAGCTTGACATACCTAACCTGGATGCTGCAATAGTATTGATGCGCGGCTTTTGGGATTGGAAAATGGTAATTACTATTAGATAGGTAATAATAAAAACACATTTATTGGCTACCTATATACGGGTGAAACCAAAGAGTATATAACGTACTAAATACTCTTTGGTGAAACTAATATAAAATATATTCAATGTAAAATGCAAAATGACAAAGGCGTGTTTTCTACTTCTTCGCAAAAACAATAGATATTCAAATGCAATCAAAATTAAATTAACGTTATCCTGACCTATACGGGCCATTACATTATGCGTGATATGGTAACTTCCGGCACCTATGAAATCAATTTGTTATGGTCCTCGGCCCTATTGTTCTAGGTGTGGGCCCCTTTTTATTTAAGGATGTGATATAACGCCATGATACCAAATTAGATGGCCATTTATTGCTATTAGCAATCATATAAATGTCCTTCAATGTTAATTGTTTATAATTAAAGTCTGTATAGTTTAAACATTTTTGCACGCCATTGCAACTATGGCACGCACAAGTAGAACACACCTGAAGTTCGGAGGTCGTGTTAGGTAGTTTTTGAAAGTGTGTAAGCTTTTGGGTTCGCTCGTCTCAGACGGACGGCCCTGTAAATCATAATGCTGTTAAATAATTGGTAAAAACTGTGTTAGACCGCAGTATTGAAGTTTCTTGCATAACAATTTTAGCGCATTTTTTTAATAATTAAAAAAAAGTGCAATTGTTTGCGTATTGCCCGTCCGTGGACCCATGGTCAAATAAGAGTGTGGACCCACTTATGCGGGTCTTTTAATGGAATTATGCCACGGTCTTGGAATTATTTGCAATAGATAGCCTATACCTTGAAAGTGTGCTAGGCGTCCATTAAATTTTGTTGTTAATGAGGGGTGAGGGGGGTGAATTATTTCCCAAGACTCTGTTTTTGAAAGTAAAACGTGTATAACTTTTACCTGCGACAACGAATTGGTCTCAGATGTTGCATACGCATACCTTATTTATTACCTTTAGTGGTGTCAAGTAACACTTTTGAAAATGGGGGGGGGGGGGAACACACGTGCTACCATTAACAATATTCAGGAGACTTGATTCTTCTTGCATAAATCATCTAGCAAGAAGGTAAACATCGATAAATATAGCATGCTAGTAACTTACCGTATACTAATTATGAGTATTTACTAAGCTATTTCGGTTTAAAAAAATGCACTTTATCTTGTGCATAATTGATACCTGTTTCGTGTTGAAGTTAGGTTTTATCATTTATAAAATTATCTTTTATTTATAAGTAATTTATTATCGAAATCGAGTGGGATTGCATGAGCAACTTTGTTATTATTGAAGATAGAGATTAGGTTAGATCGGTAAAGTTTTGTGTGCTGACTAAAATTACGTTTAGAACATAAAAAAAAAGAATTCGATTAAAGCTTATTAAAGAAACTGAGAAGCGCTGAATAATAAAAAGTTAAATACTTACCTCCATAAAATAGTTATTATTTAATCATTTCTCAGTACGGTAGGACCGAGGGTAGGACAAACTCAAAAATTCATTGTTGAAAAGAGAATATCAAACTTTCTTTGATCATGTAAAACTCCAATATGGCGCCTATTTAAAGAGGTTGATATTGATATTCACCTGTCAGTAACGGGGTTAGTAACGAGGTTAGTAACCGTCCTCTTGGATTGCATTGCGACATCATTTATCAGTCTTAAAAAAAAATCGTATATTGACACAGTTGGCAAGACGGACGAACAAATCTATGGGCGTAAAAAAACAAACAAAGACTACAATTGCGTATTCTTAATTTCTGGAAATGCGCTAAAAACTAATAAGGAGTAAAACCAGATCCGGAAGGTATTTTTATTTTTAAGATTATATCTGTGACGCGGGTTAATTTAATTTGTTAAAGCAGTGTTTACGTAGAAAGAGGATTAGAAAGCGTTATCCCCGTAATAGAAAAATACAATTAAAATGGGAGAATCTCTTGAATGCGTTGGATGTCACCAAATCAATATTTATAGAAATAGAAGTCATTCTATTAGATACTTATAAATGGTTAAAAAATGATAACATCATATGATTATTTTAGAGTGAAGTACCTACTTACCGTTCCTTAAAAGGAATGGGTTTTACTAACTAATTATCTACAAATTTAAGTTTTTATTAAACATATGACCTCCATATTCATGGTTACCGTATCGTGCTGCAGACAATGGGTCTTATTGTGATCGAATAGAGCAGCGCTAGATCAACACGGAATACGTTATAATTAGATAAGGCAGTACTTGGTGAAATAAGAATTCGTAGAGTTTATGGCTTTATTAGTTTAATGTAGAAATGGTATTAAGTAAAAAATTATCTACGAGTATTATTATTATTAACTATCGATTTCGACAACAAAAAATGAGCAAAATTCTTGACAGAACAGCTTCCTAGCTCAAACCAAAAATAGCGCTTTTAAAAGAGTGTTTTCAAAAAATAGTAAGTGTCCAGAAAAAACTTTTCCCACGAAAGTTTAAATCATCCCCTAAAACTGATATCTATTCTAGGCAAAAATACTTGCTTAATCCGCTATTTATTTTTAAATAGAAATATGTAAACTCTGTGTCCTGTTTTAATAGTTTTAGAATGAATAAGGGTGTAAATGCTTGGATAGGTATTCACGGTTTTACACACGGGTGGCGAATTTCAAGTTAAATTACTCTTACTTAATAAAATCTTCTTTCAATTTGCACCATGTACGGAGTTCAGAAAGTAATTTTTTCGATCTTTATTCGTTATTCGTGCATAACTTTTATAATTTTGCGAGAATAGTCTCGAGTTATTGTGTCTTGTTTTTAGCGTATTTTTGCAAATTTATTTATAAAAAGGTAGTTTTCATCTCATTTTGACCGGCTAGCTGGCTGGCTGGCAGCGAATGAAGGCTAGTAGAAGATCGCTTGTACAAGGCAATGAGTGGCAGCGTAAAGGGGGAGATGGCGGTCGGCCCCGAGCGACTTCAGTTCTGGGGGCGCTTTTCGAAACTTAAGTTAATAAAAACATATTAGCGCTCGACGTTGAGCAAAAGCAGACTAAACAATCTCTCAATATTATCCATAGAAAAAGAATCCTCCCTAGAAATCAATCGTATTGATGTAGTAGACGTCGTCATGTGTACAGAGTGTTCCAAATTGCTTGCTTTTGATGTGTTTGGGGGATATTTTGAAAACAAAAAAAATAGTGTGACGGGGTTTACATTCCTTGTGGCCACTTTTCAAAGCTGCATAGATCGACGATGTCAATTTTGATGTGACTGGCGCGAACGGGGCAACAGTGCAAAAGTTCAACACTGCAATAAAGAGTTTTACTTTATAACTTAGATATTTGTGGGAATATCAAATAAGTATCAAGAATAAACGTTATGGCAAAGAAGTCTCTTAGGCAGGGGACATTTTTTTATTTTACAGATACAGCACCAAAGTTTCTTTTTTCAAATGGAATGTACCTATAATATTTTTTTGTCCCAACAAACCAAATAAAATATTATACATTCTACTCGTATTTGAAAAAACTTTGGTGCTGTATCGTAATCATTAAGTAGGATATGGAAAAGATAAAAACACCCCTTTACTAAGAGACTATTTTTACATAACGTTTATCCTTTATCCTTTTTTAATATTCACACAAAATAACTGGGTTATAAAACAAGACTTTATTGAATTTTTGGACCTTTGAACTGTTGCCATGTTCGCGCAAGTCATACGCCAAAACTGATAAAGTCGATCTATGCAGGTTTGAAAAGTAACGAGAAAACGCATCACTCAGAAGAGGGGGGAATGTATGAGGGCGCAATTTTGGTGAACCGCTCCAGGCACTAGCGGTAGTACCTACGCCATTGTGGGCCGTGCAAGTGAAAACTTTAGGAACGGCGCGACATCTGCTCACCATCCTCGAGCGTGGTTTACTAACGTGGTGATTTGTCTATTTTTTTCATTTTTTTTCTATCTTCTACAGTTTTTTTGTCCGATTGTGGAGTTGGAAAGATCTTGTAGACACGGAACTCCTGCGGAATTTTTTTCCTAGCGGCAAAATTAACCACATTTTGCAAGGCGTGCGGATTTGAGTGGTAGTCGATTTCGGGCGCCCAGAAGTTACCTTCCGCTGCGAAATTTGTCACGCGGTTTAAAGTTTCTTAAAGCTCGAATCGCGGTTTCATTTTTTGTATCGCCAATAGAAGGTCGTGCTATAAGAAGTGCCCCAAAAATTGAGTAGGTACTTAAACTATTTTGTGGGGGGCTTTTAGCAAAATCCACCACAAGGTCGCATTTATATGACCCCCGACAAGATCTGACAGGCTAATAGAATCACACAAAAATGCGCTGAAGTCCGTTCGATCGCACACGAGGATTTTGATGATTTTATCAATTTTTAACACTGTTCCATTCATCCTAAAGGGCCGCAAATTTAGTTTTAATTATATTTCATTGTTTTGAACCCTGTAGTCGACTTTATTATTATTAGTAAACTATTAGAATTTAGCTACCATACTTGTCTTTAATAAAAACCCCGACTTAAGCACCCTAAAGCGTTCGGCGCTCTCGCGCATCCTGGGTCCTCGCGCTTTCGGTACTCCTGTGCTTTCAGTGCGTCCTCGCGCCGCGCTTTCGGAGCGCGGTGCCGTGGCACCCACGTATGTAATAAAATTAATACAAGGTGTCTTAGCCAAGCTGCTAAGCTACCTTTGATTAAAACAGCATATTTTAACCACAAATAGAAGGTATACAACTAACATTAGAAGGGAACATACGAATATTGAACTACTTTAATACGTTGTCCATTTCAGATTAGAACATTATTTATACAAAATGTATTAATTTATAATACCTACGATATATACCTACTAAAAACGGTATCTAATATAATATGACGTCACATCATTATGATTACTTCACGGTTTGTACCACGTAACACAAACATCTTCTGTTTTAGTATATTATTAATATAACTCCTATTAGTTTCGCTTCAGTAAAAAAAATACTAAAGTTAATAGGAGATTTCAAGTAGGTATCAATATTTTTCTCAGTGTAGCATTAATGGAGGTGACGCTACTTTTCTGGGAGCAAATGGGAGTTTTCTTGGAGTGCGTTTTGCGCCGCAAATTTTTTGAGGGCGAATTTTTTGAAAGCGAATCTTCCTGAGGCCAATCTTCTGGGGGCGAATTTACCGATTCGAGTAAACGGGTGCGAGTTTACCACACACGTGTGAATCGCCAATGTTTGTGAAAGCGATTAAAATTACGTAACTGATACTAAAAATTGTATAGGCTACGCAGGTCATTTGTTTATGATAACAGTATGAATAGATAAATGGATTAATTTTGTAAGTTTATGTAAATTACTCATGATTCCCTTAAGAAATAAGGTCATGCACGTGTTTGTCTTTCGCCCACCGCATTTTAGTTTTACAACTGGATAGGTATTCAATTCTCCATAATTCAGGTTTCAGGTCAAAGTCATTGCATTTATAATTTTTGTTGCAAGAGAAATACAATAATAGGTTTGTAAACCTAGGTAATATCGTGTATGTAAACGATCAGCATAAATTATTCGACCTTCCCTTACTTACCTCTATGCAGCAGGCAGTGACGTTTACTTATTTTCCATTTTAAAAATGCATTCAAAGGATACACGATCATCGGTAAGGGCTTTTTATTATACCATGGTAAGGGCCATAGAAAGTGTGGCTGCTTTAAAATTCCCATATAGGCGGTGAATGAACGAGCGAGCAGACAGGCGGATTAGAATTTAGATTGAAATGAATTCCAATTAAAGTATGATTTTGTGGTGCCGTTGAGTGAAGGATATTTAATTACTCAATGGTGGTACCTAGTTAACGTTGAAATAAGCTCTCGGCTCTCACTATTTCTAATTTGATAATTAGTAATTACAATATTTCTAGGACCATTGTTTTTTGAAATAAATATCCCAAGACCTAAGTGCAATGTGCAGATGATCAGTACACGAGTGCTTTTAAAAAATTTATAATATCAAAATGAAATTGTTCTAAATGTGACATTTTAAATTATTTCACGGGCATGATGAGTAGTATGCGGTGACTATTCTCACGTCACATTCATATATAATTCAGCCGGTCTACTGTTTGAGTTCTCTATTTAAATAAGTAAGAATTAACGCAAGTGGCGCTTGAAACTTATGTAAGTAGTTGTTTTATACCCTACATTAATAATGTGAGAATATAGGTACAAGTTTGTATTAGTACTTTTGTAATGAGGGGGTATTTTCGAGGGTATTTTATATAACAACAAGGTAGTAGCTAATTAAATGGGAGCTAATTGTTGGGCAGAACTTATTATTAAGATGCGACAAATCAACTGTAAACTCACCATTCATTAGAAACGTCCCTCTGTAATCTACGCAGGGTGGTATGGCAGCATTGTCTCACTGGTCGTCTTTCGCGCTCAAGGGTCATGTAAACAAACATCGCGACTGCTTAACCGCGATCCTCACCCTTCAGGATCTCCAAACACTCCTGTTTGCGATTGGGGTTAAATGCGTCCTTGGTGATAGCTTCCTGAAGGGGGTAAGATGGAGCTGATATCTATTTGGGAAAGGGTTACGCAGCGCGCACGTGTATTATTTAGGATACACATCCCTCCTCGCTCCTCTGATTAGGACCCTCGCCCAATAGATCAGTAACGTCGATCTATGTCGCTCATCCCCCCCCCCCCCTGCGAACACACCTCAATATCATGCTTATGGTCAGGTTACACTTACTCTGACTAGTGACTATACAACGCACATGCAGATCAAGACCCCCCCACTGCCCAAAAGTGAGTAGCAATAAGCTATACGAAATACTGATACCTACATTTTAAGGGTGCGTTTATGACTTTCGTTTTAATTGCTAAGGTGCACCATTATAATTAAAATATCGTTTTTACAACTTTCACTTTGCCAGATATCACCAGTGACTTTACCCACATTGCTCGCTTTCGCCTCTATAAAACGAAAAGGAACACACATAGCAGTAGACGGTACCTACTGTATCCTAGGCAGATTTCTTTTATGTTGAATTCCGTCTATTGTAAAGGAAAGGGATGGTATACCATTACTCAATGATGACTTACCACCATTTCTTTCAGTCTTCCTTCAAACCCACTTGTGGTTATCGCCTCGCATTGAATCCCTATACCAACAACCAATGCAATACGTACCGTAAAGGCAAATACCTCAGCGCTCGAGGAACCGCGCGGGTGTACCGTGAATCTACTTATCTTCTGTAGTCCGGTGCCAATGGCACGGTGACAAAAAATTGCAATTTAGGTACGGAAGAATCTCGTCCTCATATTTTTGCAGAGGCTTAACTCATATTCAGTAACTATGACAATTAATTGTATACCTATAATGGGGGTTTACAGTATAGTTGAATTCCGTAGTTCTAATTTAATATGCGTGTACCTGAAACCATAAAACATTTTTTTGGACAGTAAAAGTTTATTTAAAAATAGAGGCTGATTAGCAAAAAAATAATGAACATGTGCGGTTTTAAAGGTGTATTCAAAACGATATGATTGTGGCGGGCTCTGTGACGTAATAAGCCCGACCAATCAGCTCGTAGAACCATTCAGATGACATAACGACTTGGCAATATTGCAGGAGAATGGCATTTATAACTTGCGTCATCTGTCACAGGCACTTGTCACTTTCGTGCTAGATGCAGTTAAACATCCCTCTCAAAACGTCAAATGTGACAAACGTCAGACCCTCGCGTAAGGTTGCCAGCTCACTTGTACGTGATTGGTTGTAGGTTTGTGGCGTATTTAGTCTGAAGCGTTTCAAATTCGGACTAAAAACGCAGCTTTTCAATAATTTATTTTGGGTTTATTTTACTCGCAAATAAAAATTGAGGACACACGGGTCTTTTTATTTTTAATGTACTTTGTGGATCAGAAATAAAAAATAAAGGCGGGATGACCCCATTGTTCTAAAATTAAAGTAATTATCTAAAATTTTACTCCCCTTGAATGCCTCTATCTTACAGTCAAATGTACCATGTAATTCCATTTTTCCAATACTACCTATGGTTGAGTTCCAGTGGAGGTTTGCAGTGCTACCTGTTGAGTGTTGAAGGGCTTGCTTTTGTATATACTATTTGAAATCACAAAAGTTACAATGTGCGCAATTAAATACTTATGTTGTTTAAATAATAAACAATAGGAACTAATGTTCTAATTAATTTTTTATTTCATTTAGAATAAAAAGAATACGTGGTATGATGGGGTTAATTCTATAATTTGTTGTAGTACGTATAGCGCACAATCATTTATAGGTACATTACACACAAACCTGCGCCCGCCAAACCACTTTCGAAGTAGCATATTATTTTAAATTGTTGATATTAAGCTTCGGCACTGTGCATGATTTTTTGGACAACGTACCTCGTAGCAAAGATATGCTCGTAGTAACCACAATGGTAGTATCATTAAATACAGTGGTAGTATCTTCAAGTTTGATATCGAAACGACAGCACGGACCAAAAATCACAAATATGGGTCCTATATTCGGTGGTTTGGAAAAAGAAATATTCTACTGTTTTTGGACATGACTATCTCACTAGTTCGCGCTTGTTCGTATTGAGAATTATTACAATGTTCATTGCGTCTAAAATGAAAGGAATTCATTTATTTAGTATTCCACTTGCGCGTTTTTTCGAGGTGATTGAAAATGTGTAATTGAAAACAATTTATCCACTTCAAAAATGCCTTAAAGTAAATGGTTATTTTTAAATGTTGTAATTGTACTTATACATTCTTTTTTATTTCAGTTCTAAATTCTTTTGACATCATCTGCAAGAGGTAAACATGGAAGTAGAAGACATCATGTGCGACCAAGGAATTATGAGAACTGAGCTTAGTATGGAGATTGAAACTGACTCTACCACTATTATTACTATTTCCGCCACGTAAGTACCAATAGCAGTTATTTTGTATGGTACAGGCCATAAAATGTAAATAATTTGAAAATTTGGAAGAAGTGGATTCTCCGTAGGGGGTATCGACCTAACTTGCGAATTCCATTTGCTTTTTTACAGGCTTGTACTGTAAAAATTGCAGGAAAATCGCCCAGGGTCTGCAAATTCAACACTACTGACGTTTACCTATCTAACACAGTATAAGTACTACACTATGTATAGATATACCAAAGAGTACCCATAATATACTATTCTGATATAGGTCCTACGCTATACTTACTAAACTAAACTATACTTATAGATAGGTATAAAAAGGCAAGCGGGGGGATAAATGTACACGTTGATTAATATAGTTAGTAAACCCTGGGAATTCCTTTACAACATTATAATACATTATTTTGTTGCAGACGATTTCGTCTAGCGATTACCGTTTTAACGAGAGCAGTTCTACCGACAGTGATACAAGTTTGTTATAAATGCCTTCGCAATCAAAAAGTGGTCTTGGACAACGTTCGTCATCAAATAATTCCAACTATTTTTGCTTTCCTAGCAAATAATATTTCTCGATCCTTATCATCAGTGCAAAGGGGATTATTTTACCCTCTACTGTTGAGAGCTACAATTACTCCATCTTCTACCCGAGATGAAGATTTTCCCGAAGAATGTGTGGATTGCGTTGTATTACATGAACCGTCTGGTTCGATCGTGGTAGACATTATATTTATTCATGGTATTCATGGTTCCTTGCAAAATACTTGGAAGCAAGGTTTGTGGGCAAGTGATAGAAACAAAATAAAAAAGGCAGTTTTGGAACGAAGTCAAACCTCCTCAGAATTAAATCGCCAGCTGCCAAACAGCCCACTGAAACGATCTATCTCTGACTACTCATCATTGCGACCAAGTAAGCTTTCAAAATTGGATTCGACCTCATTTAATAACAACATAGAAATTGATAACGAGGGATTAGACGATGAATTTTCAAAATGCTGGCCTAAAGATTGGCTATCGAAAGATTATCCAAACGCAAGAATCATATCTCTTAATTATTCAACTGACCCGTATCTATGGCGTCCTGTTTGGGTAAAGAAAAAAAATAGGTAGGTAGTCAATTTCGTTGCTTTAGTCCCAACATTTTGTTCTTGGAATCGCTTGAACAGTAAACGATTTGTTTAGGTCTGGCATACCAGAACGAAGCCTTGAAATGATAAAACATTTAGTAAAGTTGCAAGTAGGTCGCCGTCCAATAGTTTGGGTAGGTCATTCTAAAGGAGGTCTTTATATCAAACAAATTATTGTTCACGGTAAGTTATTACTGACAAACCGTACCTGTGGACATCCTTTATGATTTCAGCGTGGGAACAGAACGCTGAAGAAATGAAATACTTGTACTTGCAGAGTAAGGGAATTATGTTTTACAGCGTTCCTCACAGAGGTTCGGTGCTTGCTGATATTACTTTACCATTTTTAAGCAGAAGTGTAGAACTTTTAGAAGTTCAAAGAAGTAAGTTACCTGCCTATAATTACACATTGCTTAGTCTAATTAATATTGTGTTTTAGATGGCTGTTTTATACTAGACTTGCATAGGAAATTTTTAAACATGTTAGAACAAAGTAAGATAAATCCGGAAGTCTTTAGCTTTTTTGAAACATCTTTAACGTTCATGTCCTTTGTTTATCTAAGAATAGTGGCCGCCGACTCTGCAGGTACAGATGACTCTAAATGAATTAAATAACATTCTTACTATTATTTGCTAAATTATTTTATGTAGGTACAATTCTTTCGCTTCCAATTAAATTCAGAAAGTGTACCTACTGTGAAAATGAACAATTATTTTACTAATTCTACATAATCAATTTTTTCAGCAAATACTTCTACACCGACTTGTACTATTGTTTCAGATGCTGGAGTAGGTGAAAAATGGGGTGTACCATTAGATCATCGAGAAATATGCAAACCTTCAAGTCGGCAGTGCTTTTTATACAAGGAGTTGTTGAGAATAATAGAAAAAATTCTTTGTTAGCATTGGAATTTAAAAAAATACTTGCTGCAATTACATTGTAGTATTATTAATATAGAATGAGAATGGAAAAAACGGGTCTTGTATAAGTGGACTGTTTGTACGTGGTATGACAAAACGAGGACTACCAAATGCAAATAAGATAGTCATTTTAATTGTTCCCTAAATATAGGTACATAGTTCAATCCCATTACATTGTGATAATTTAAATAAATATGTGCCAGAGTGTATTTAACCACAAAAACTAGATAAACCATCCTAACTGTGGTGTCACACTATGCGTTTTTACCGCTCCTGCTAAAACGGATGCGGTTTTGGTTTGACAGAATATGATGTGGTTGCATCCTCGCCCGCATATATGTGACCATATGTGACTGGTACCATTTAATAACTTGTGATATTATCATCCCGTCAAACAGGAGCGTTTTAGCGGAAGCGGTAAAAACGCATAGTGCGACACCACACTATCGCAAAATATATGAAACTTTTGCAAAAGTACTCATGAGTATGTTACATTGCTTCAATTAGATTATTACATAGTTTGGTAGGTCTACTTAATGTGATTGTACTTTAAATTGAATTAAGTAGGCATTTAATAATTATCTATTTTTTTAAATAGACAAAAAGTGAGATATTTGTTAGGAAAGCGATAATAATTTATTACATGTTATAAATATTTAAATTAATATTATATTATATGTTTAATAAATATTTAAAATAATAAACACAATATTCCAAGTATGACAATCCATTTAAATTTAAAAATATTTGTAGTTATTGGTAGGTAGATACAAGATATTTTAAAACAGGTGTATTTTTATTATTTAGCAGGCAAAATATTATTGTATAGTGTACTTGCCATTCAAACTCACTAAATGTAAATTTGACTGTTACAAATTCACTCAAACGCGTTCATTGGACAAACCTACAGTACCTATAATACTAGATAGATAAGCTAATTTACAAAACAATTGTTTTCGTCATAAGTATCGTTAAATTATACCTATACCTTTACATATTACATTCGTCACCTACCCAAACAATAGCTGTATAAATGTATAGTACTTCTTATTAATAAGGTGCCACCTCTATACATATAATACATACATTACTACTCAGTAATCATAAATAAAACAACAGCATGTTAGAAACCAGTTGTACATCAGCACATGCATGATGAAAGCACATTTTTGGTAATGCAGATATAGGTACCTATTCAGTATTGTATTAGCAAAGTTTAAAATTATTGATCTCACGAGTAATCTAACTCAAAATAGACAAGAGCCTGCACATCTACTCTACACTATAGTAGAAAGCCTTTAGTGGAAATTAGCTATTGCAATTGCTGAGATCTCAGCCAGCCAGTCATAACGAATATACTTAATAGCGTATTTTAATACTTACTATTTAAGAGTCTTCTGTACCCACTGCACCAAATGTAAATTTCCATAAGAGCGCCCGCCATAAAACTCTAGTTCAAAAAAGAATTTTTTTAAAGAACTATTTTATAAAATTAGACCTTTATCTACCAAATATTCGGACCATTTTTTTTAAAAAGTGTATAGCAACTGAATATCGGTTTTTTAAAGATTAGCTGTTTTGCACCGATTATTGCGTTAATCTGTTTCATTTTTTTACTCGCGATCAAGACAATTTATGGAAAAAGTAAACCGACAGTTTTTTAGATCAGTTACTTCTTAACATTACCCCAAAAAATGAAATCAAATTTTTTATAAATAAAGTCTGCATCTTGGCGGGCGGTAAATCAACAATTTCAGTGTAACAATTGACGCCGCTGCTCAGTGTCGGCGGGAACTAACTAAGGACCAAGACAGGAGTTGACAAAGCAAAAATATTATCTTGTCTCTTGCAACTATAATCATCTATATAGGTTCTATAATGTAAAAAAGTTGCGCTTGGGTAAAGAAGACTCAATACTTCGTCGTATGCCTGGCGTAGCCGCCTCTCCCAGAATTTAGTCAACTGTCGTGAGGATGTGACCCTGGTAGTTTTTACCAGGGGTGCATATCCACCACTTTGTTGCCATTGAGCTGGGCCGCGACATGCCAGACAATCTGGTGGATTATGTGTGTGTAAAAGGGTACGGTCACAACTTCTCCACAGGAATATCTGCTTCCTGGTGATAGCCTCGCCCCCGGGCGTTCTATTAGTTTCCGGCTGCCTCCATCCTTTTGTCTCGTTTTCTTCCTTCTTGTTTCTCCTTTTCTTATTGTTGTCCTCCCCCTCCCAGGTAGCACATAATCTTGGCATTAGAAAGGAGATATCTAGGCCCAATATAAATATGTTGGCGCAATATTGCATATCGTTTTCTATATTGGACCTACATGTTAAAATCTCTGTAAAATTCATATGGAACATCATCAATGTTACACCTATATATGACATATATTGTAAATCCAACATTTTAAAAGTTAATGTTGGATCAATATAGAATATCTAATATAATTCTATATAGATAATTCTGGCATGGGCGCAATCTGGAATAACCAATATAATGTTATATGGATATTTCTAATAATGGTTCAATATTGGTTTAACATTATGTAACCAACATTGTTTATATCGACGTTGTACATATATTGTTTAAATCAATGTACAAAAAAACTATATACGCGCAATGTTGGTCAGTCAATGTAGTCTCACACGTATATTTCCAATATTGGTTTAATATTGTATAGTCAATATGGTTATTATATCGATATTGTCGGTATTGGACCTATGTTCTTTTAATCGACATAGAACAAAACAATATTGGCACAATGTTGATCTAATGTTTGAATTCGATATCTTATTATATTGATATTATCGACATTGGGCCTATATTGTATCAATCAATATAGGAAAAAATATATGGGCACAATCTTGGGCCTTTATGTAATTAAAAACATGAGACAGCACTTTTAAGTATAGCATCATTTCGGAGAGTTTGCGCACCGCTGCATAAGCACGCCATTAAGCATATCTACCTACACCACGGTGACATACTTGTTTACGTGATCTGTGTGATTATGAATGCACTTCATTTCATTTTGTATTTGTAGATGTGCAAGTGTTAGTATTGTCAGCGAGTATTTGGTGACTTTCTTTATTAGTGCATCCTGTGAGAAACTGAGAATAAAGGGTAAGTACCTATTATACCTATAGGTATTAATCTTATAAGATTAAGTTTTTTGGTTTGGTAATGCTTGCATAAACATTAAGATGTAGGCACGAAGTAGATTTTGTGCTAATAACCAGATATATCAATTTTCATAAGTTTTTTTTTAATCTTTGATATTGTTTAGTTACAGTTAAGAATAAATTCCAAGCTGTTGGGTCTTGTGAGTGGGACTTTGGCATCATGCTGCAGAATAGGACGGGGGTCGCAAGGAAAGGGAAAAGTATAAATCATTAATTGTAACATCTTAGTTTTACATCATTTTCTTTCTTTACAGAATAAATTCGATATTCCGTTTTCCTACGCTTTTCAATTTACCTGTTATTTTATTATGTTGTACAGTTACATACGTAGAACCACTCTGGTTTAATATCCTCCAACAGTATTGATTCGGCCTTGTGTGAAAATATTGAATCAAGGTTTAATAGCTTTCAAATTCTATGTTGGTACAACAGAGATTACATTATTCGCCCAATATTTCCATTCTATATTGTGGTAATATAGTTCAACAATATTGGCCCATGTTTACAAAGCATTTACATCCTATATTGGTCCGATGTAGGCTGCAATATTTCCCCGATATTGTAACTATGAGATCGGGCCAATGTAGTATAACAGTATTGGTTTTATATTGTAAGTGACATTGAACCAATATTGTTAACTATATTGGCCCAATTTTTAAAAGCGTTCACATTCTATGTTGGCGCAATATAAAAATACAATATGAAGTCAATGTTGCGCCAGTTTATAGCCATTATTGCTTCCATATTGCGTGCTACTTGGGCTGCCTCTCTTTCTGTCTCCTCCTTTGGGCTGCTTGTGCTTACATCTAATTCTTCCTCCACCTCCAGTACTCGTCTGCTTTCTTTCTTCATTTGGTATTTGTCTCTGGTCCACTCTTCCCATTTTTCTATGGGAATCCCCGAGGCCGCCACCGTTTGGTCTATAGTGGACAGTGATGTTCCATGTGAAACAGGATCGGCCTACTTTCCATTCTGAGGCACGTAGATTCTTAATGCGCCAAAAATGATTTAATTAAGAGCTTATTCGCAAAGGCAGTATAAACTCCTCCCTCCTCTGACGATTTAACTAATGCAAGGACAGATTTTTCGTCAGTATTCAACAAATTTCGTGCTATCTGAAGGTGAAATAAAATAAAGTAAAATAAAATAATTTAAAATTGAGCCGATGGCACCTTGGTTGTCGATACCTAAAAAAAAAAATTAAATAGAATAAAAAAATAAAATAAAGTAAAATAAGTAAATAAAAATAAAATAAAATAAATTAAACTAAAATAAAATGAAGTGAAGTAAAATTTGTACATTTCGTTGGTTTATTATGATGATTTGCAAATGTCCCGTTTCTTGGCGCCATCCTGTATTTATGTATTTCTTATATGCATTATATTTAGATATTTAATGTTTTGAGATCGGTCCTAAATTTTTTGAACTATCTTTGTCATCTGTATGTATGTACAAAGGATCACTTAGTTTTCTTATACTGTTTATGCGGGCGGTAAACTTAATTTAGGTCGATTGCGGAAATTATGACAATTAAATTACGAACTCACACACAACGTGTTTTTGCACTTACCTTTTGGGTTATACTTGTTCATAAGATGCAGTTCGCAATTTTAAACATATACAGTGATATTCAATTAGAAGCAGACATAGGGATTTCCTATGTCCAGTTTTAAATGACAAAAACCTCCTGAAGGACAACTTCTTAAAACAAATGAAGATTTTACTGTCATATTGCTTTGGCTTTCGTATTTTTATTTTCGTTCGAGGGTGATGTATTTTCTGTGTTGATCACTTTAAAATGAGTGGTTATTGAAATGCGATCCACATGAGACACCGTAAACAACCCTCAATTTTATGGGGATATGAAACTGAATGTTTTAATTGTTGTGGAAGAAAATCTCCCATAAGAAACTTAACGGAAATAGCGGACGAATTTAATCTCTCTTCATCATATCCTAAAAGCATACCACAGCTCCACCAAGCAAACTATGTCTACTTCTAAATTAATAGCACTGTATATTTCTGAAGAAATCGAGGTGGCATAATATTAATTTGAATAGGTGTAGGTACAGATTATTGTGTTGCAAACACATTATGGCGATGTCTTGTTCGTCCGTCCGTACTTACATCATCAATATTGTAACTAACGATTACTACTATAATATCTTTCCGAATGTGCTGGTACTCGATATCCAGTATACTGACCTGCCCGTTGCCGATAGCCAGTACATCAAAATATCGATCTTTTTGGGATAGTCCTCAAACGGGAGATACTAAAGAGTACCGATGTAGTGGCTACTGTCATGCACGCGATCTTTTATCATCTGAGTATTGCAATCTTCTTTATGTATAACATTTTTCCGTACGTGTGTTTCTGACTACTCTTAAAACGGCTGGACAGATTTTGATGACATTTTTTTATGTGTCTTCGGGTGGTTTAGATTCCCAATTGGGCCCGATCACAGTATTTTTTTAACCTTTTTTTTTCGTTGATGTCCACTCTTCCATTTCGTGTACCGATGGATACATGCATCAAGTCACATGCGTCGTACCGTACTGATGTGTTTACATTATTTAAGCTGGATTTCCGGTATCATACATCGGTCAACGTCGCATGAAGTCGCAGGGGGAAATCTATAGAATAACAATTTAAAATTCGCAGTCATTTGGATCGCTTTTGTCGAAATACACAACTTATATTTTTATCCTTTTGGCATGCGCGATTCTGGAGTAATTTGATACTGGCGTTCCTAGCCTCCTTCCGCAAATAGATGTTTTACCATTGAATAAAAAATGTTTTATTCAATGGTTGTATGAAGGATAATCGCTATCCTCTACAATCAGTGGCGGTCCCAGGGGGGGCCCGCCCCCCCCCTTGTCAATTTTTTCATCAGATTTCTTTTATTTTTTCCGTATTGGGAAAAAGTTCGGGTTTGGGCCCCTCCCTTTACCAAATCCTGGGACCGCTACTGTCTACAATTTGTTTTTTTGGTCAACCTACTATATTTAACCATTTCTTTTCTTCACATTCTGGAGGTCGATGTCGTAGGTTTTTATATCATCAGCAACGCTCTGCTCGTACTTAGGACTGGATCTGGAAGAAATAACTAACGCGTCCAAAGTTATACTTTATTTACATGGTATTTTTTACACATTAAGTTAAAATCACAATGTTACTTAAATGGAACATAGTTAAAATTGCATTCCGTTAGGAAAACTACAAGCCCAAAACTTTTATCTCTGTATGTAAACAACTATTTACATGAGAAAGAGTTTAGCTTTGCATAAATTAATTACAATTCAATTGTGTGAGTGATTTCTGCTACTTGTAGACTCTTATGTCCACTTTTTCTGACCATTTCTGCATTGAAGCACTCGAGCTCGTTTTCCAGTGCTTTTGTGCGTCTATACATCTGTATATAATTAAGTTGTAACTGTTTCTGATATTTCAATACTTTTTCTTTTTCTTGCGCCCATATCAACCTCTCTTTTTCAAACTCCAGCCGTTTAACTTCCATCTCTTGTTTAAGTTTATCCACTTCTTCATTTTCGTTGCTGTTCGATTTTATACAGAAATTTGCTAGAAGTTGCTGGACCTCTTCTTCTTTGTTTTTTAAGGATACGCACGGAATCTCGACATCATCTTGATCGAACTTTGTAATAATGTAGTCGGCGTGATCTTCGCAAGCGTTGATATTATTTTCTAATAGCTTTTGAAGTTCTTGCTTTAAACTGTCTATTTGTACATTCTTGGCCTTTAATGTTCTCCTTAAATTTTCCGACGCGGATTTGTTTGCTTCAAGTTGTTCTCGAACGTCTCTGTATTCGTTCCGTATTTGCAAAAGCTCGTGTCCTTTGCAAGTCTGATCGTTCTAAAATCAGAAGATTAGTATTTGCGATAAATTAAAGACGCACTATCAGTACCTGGTAATCTTTTAATTGTGACTTAAGTAAAGAGATCTCTCCAGTTTTTTGGCATAAACTCCATTCCGTTTCTTCTAATCTGTCCCTCAGTATTTTAACCTCTTGTCTTAGCCTATCACTTTCACAGTTAGCTTTTTGCGTTTCGCCGGATAATCTTTTCTTATCTTGCTGCAGTTGATAGGTTTGCATCATGAGCATCTGCTCCAATTTAAGTGCCTTTTGTGCTATGGTCCGTAAGCGAGTTTCGTGTATGCTTTTTAACCGTCTCAATTCTCTCTCCCACACCCGTTCTTTCTCTTGATACACCCGAAAAATAACTTGCTCATTGTGCTCCATTGTTTGCCGCAAGTAGGCAAGCTCCGAATCGCGATCTCGCAAAGCAGCTTCCAATTCGGATACGCCGGAATCTGACGGGGATGGAGTTAAATCGAGGAGAGAACCACCAACCCCAGACAACATATACGAAGACTTATTTCTGCAATAAATTTCTTTTACTGTTGTGTAGGTTGAATGCCGTTGGTATTACTTACGTTAAAGTGCTATCCGCAGTTGACACTGGTGATTTCCGCACACTTTCTAAACTGTCGTAGTTACTAATTTTTTGAGGTAGAGAGCTGAATGTCATGGACATAGGGGAGGACATTATCGATTGACAGGATGACCGCAATTTCCGATCCAGAGAGTAATTCGAATTTGGCGCGAAGTGATGCTTATGATCGTTGCTACCTAGAAATAACGTCGTAATTATGAATATCTTTTGTGATCAAATATTTACGTGTTAAAATGGGAGTAGATCCATAACGTTCACCTTCCAGTCCAAACCTTCCCGACGGTGACATTCCGGCGGGCCGAAACGCTATGGGTCGAATAACTGTCCTTCCCTGAAATAAATACATACACAATTGGTAGAGTTATGTAAACTTGTCTTATTACATTTATTTGAAAATTTAAAATATATATTAAACTGGAGTGACAACGGTACGAAATACAACTCAGTACAACAACTCAGCACTTTAACAGCAAGAGTAAGTCAATCAAAGACAAAGGAAGGAAGAATCTACTAACATGTCATCAATAACATTTAATATGCAATTATTTCGTTTGCTATTCCCCATGCAAACCTATATGCACAACGCCTTAATCGTGCGAGAATACCTTAATCGGACAACTTTTCTATTTTTCAGGAAATTTGTCCGATAGGTATTCTCGCACGACTACTTATGCTGTGCGCGAGTGCACCATCCTGTTGAAAACAAACAGTTTCCAACTTATTTTTGTTGTGTGAAAAAATAAAAACCAGATCGGTAAATTTCGGTAATTTTGGCATATCTTCGGACGTAATCGTAATTTTGGTGTCAAATGAATTTAATTAATTTAATTAATGGTTTAATTGTACTTCGCAATAAATTTTTGGCATTGTTAATCAATTAATTGTGTGTTCTATTGTGCGACCCTGATAGAGTTTTCCTGGTTTTCCATGCAAAGATTTATTTCAGGCGATAATCAAAGTTTGTATAATAAGTTCTTTGGAATTTTCGGAAGTAGGTCGAGACCACCGAATCTCTCAAATTAAAAATATTAGGATTTTTCTTCTAGCAGATGCCGGGTCTGTACGCGGCGAGTTTATAAAATTCTAACTTTCAATTTTGAGCAAGACAAGTGTCTGCAAAAGACAGAAAAATAAATACATTTGATTGGTTTGAGGGATGAATTTTAACAAATCATTATGTATTTGTTTCAATTTTAAAAATATCCTAATGGTGTATCTTTATACTCGTAGGTATTAGACTACTAGCACTGGACTACCGCTTACAAAGTAATAATACCTCCCTCGAATAAATTATTGATGCGACTTTTATAAATGCCGTGAGAAATTATTATTAGTGCACTTATATGACGAGTTTATTTGTAACTTATTCTTTATTAATGACCATATATACTGTAACAAATCTGCTTGGCAATGCAATTATTTAGTGTGCATAGTCTCGATAGAGCTTAGCTAATAAAATATATAATTGGGTGGGTAATGTACCAAGCCGTACACGGGCCACATATACACTTGGTGTTCTTCTTCTACAAAAAAGTGAAAATTTCGCCAAAAAAGTGAACATTTCTACAAAAAAGTGGAAATTTCTACAAAATAGTGGAAATTCCCATAAAAAAGTGGAAATTTCGACAAAAATATTTGATGGCCTTTAAAATGATGGGTCACTCGATGGGGCGGCGGGGGAAGGTCAAATTTCTGCTTTGTTGTCGCCGCTTTCACTTTTTTTCGAAATTTTCACTTTTTTGTCGAAATTTCCACTTTTTTGTTGAAATTTCTACTTTTTTGTGGGAATTTCCACTTTTTGTAGAAATTTTCACTTTTTTGTGAAAATTTCCACTTTTTTGTCGAAGTTTCCACTTTTTTTGTCGAAATTTCCACTTATTTTTGGAATAAGAACACCAAGTGTGTGTATGGCCCGTGTACGGCTTCGTAGTAATGAATGAATGTAAATAAATATCATTACCAAGAATTATTCCTTAAGTTAATGATCAAAATCCTGTCCATAAAACGCTCCTCGAAAGGTGTGTACCTACCTTAGTCTAGCGGAAATTATTTTTTTATATGTATGTATAACAAAATCTCTGACCTTTAGATGTGAAATATGTTAACGAATTAATTTTCGCCAGTAAACGGAACTCCTTAGCTTAGCTTAAGGTATCTATTGCGTTTGGAGTTTAGATAAGAAAATTAAGTAACGTCGTCAGTGATTAGTATTCAATCAATATGCAAATATGGTCACATTCTATTGACAGACACTTTATTGATCTAGATTGTTTAGGATCAAACCTTGCGACAATTAAGTATGTGTACTTTTCATAGAGCGAAAGTTGTAATGTAAAAATACCATACGGAGGCAAGGTACTAAATATTTCCGCAATAACTGCCACCATAAACAACCCGCGAAGGTCTGAAATCTAGAACTGTGGCACCCTTTGAGATCTAAAAGCAAAGCAATGCAAGCTTTATAGGGGAATCGATGGTGTCCGTCTGTCCGTGAACACGATAACTGTCAAACGCTTGGACCGATTCGGTTGAAACTTTGCACAGTTGATCTATATGCCACATGTAACAAGCCTATTGAAAATGGGTCAAATCTAATAGCCCCGTAGGGTCACACCGAGGTGCTCTGTCGCTTTTTTAGATCTGCTGTAGAGGTTTACTTGAGCATTGTATGATAAAATTGCAATTTCTTGAAAAAAAAAACTAGGGACGATGATTGTAAAAAATAGTAAAAGTATATGAACTTACAACGAACTCGAAAACAGGACGCCAGATCGTTTTCCAGTTTTCTGAGATCATATTAGAGGACACAGAGGGGTGTTTTTCTGCCGTGTTATGAATAAAAGTGATGACACGGTTTGGGAGTTGTGAGACGCGGACCGTTGCTCTCGAAAAGGGTGGTTTTCGCGTGTTGCAACTTTGACGCCTTCTGAAACGGAACCGTTATCGATAGAGGAAAACGTACAATTACACAATTATAGGTAGAGATGGGGGGTCTGTGGTCATGGTCACTCAATCACCCCCTGATGGGAGGCAAGCCGCGCGTTGTCGAGTAGATTTAGCAAGACGCGCTACTTGACTTGATCAAACAATTTCAATGTACAGGGTGTCCCGTTAATAATGGCCACAGGCCATAGCTATGGAACCATTAATTGCACAGCTTCGAGAAAACAATTTTGTTAACAAAAGGGGACAATAGAAATCGCTGGAAATTATTTTCAAGCTTCTAGCTTCACTGCTAGAATTCGTACGATTCATGGTTAAGTACAAAAGTGTATTTTTTTCTAAAATATACCCAACAAACATGCACAAAAAATACATGCATAGCAATCTTGTATCAATTTTGATGCAGCATATATTGCTCTAGCTCGTAAAATATGAGGGGTGCCGGAAGGGGAACATCTCTTTAAGGAATTGAATGTAACTTCGGTTTAGGTTAACCGATTTTTACATAATAGGTCTTGTTGGAAAGTGGTGGTTAAAGTTTCAGTACATAATATGGTAACAAATATGAAAGTTGATATTGCGCAGTCTGCACATAGGTACGTTAGGATTGTTTTGGCTCAGGTGCCAGAGCTATAAGCTACCGAATTCAAAAAGAACTAACTAAATATATTGAGTAGGAGTAGGAGTCGTTAAATGCCTCGGACGAACGGACAGAGAATAGCGCACCCAACTTCGTTAAAAAATGCGTTAAAATAATAATGACCACTAAAAAAAACTAAAAGAACTTGTTCGCTACCAACAAACCAAAAAGCAAATACCTAAAGAAAACAGTTCAGGAAGTGAAACAACAAAGGACAACTTATGGAACAATAAAATTAAGACAGTTAGAAGAGATCTTGAAGAACATTACAAAACAAGAATTGGTAGACCTAAAGACACGCAATGGATAACACATGAAAGAAAGAAAAGGAAATCGAACCACGATACAAAAAAGGTCAATAAAATAATCAAATCGAAAATCACAGAAGCTATTTCAATTTTCCGTTGTATGAAGTACCTCTCGTTCAAATTTCAGACGAGTCGGGTCACAAGTAAAACAACATATCTGCATTTAATTTATTTTTTTTAGGAAGCGCCTTCTCTTAAAATTACATAAATATCCGTCCATACATTTGTTAACACATGCACATCATAAACTATGCCTCCAAGTAATGACAGTGGTTCCAAGAGAGCCCATTTTTTCTCTGCCATAGCAATTAACCGTTTCCTCGATAAAATTGGGGTTTTGATCCAAATCTTTTATCCAAATGGTGGCTAAAATTGAGAGCTTCATGTTTGAATTTTATGTAATCGATGCGTCAAAGAGTAACTAATAATTATTATGTATTCTTTGCCAGTGTATAGGATTTATAAGGCAAAGGGGGAAACTTTAAGTCGTGAAGCACAGAAAAAGTTTCTTCCTTGGTACAAGCCTTGACATCTAAACGAACCAAACGGCGGTAAAGTAGAGCAACCAGCTCTTGAGATAAGATCAGTCGTAGAAACAAACGGACTCTATTGCAATCTTGTGTCATTTCTAAATAACGTCAACGTTCTTCATCGCAGTTTTGTCAAACTTAACACGTCAATTAATTCCTAAATTTCATTTTGTACGATACTCTTATTCCACGTTTCTTTTTACGAGTATACTTACTAAAAACCCGTTATAAATGTGGGTCTATTCAGCCGAAATTTCACACAGATCAGAGCTTTAGCAGCCCGAAGATACGATTTGCGGCTTGTAAAGAATAGATAACCTTGCGCGTCCGTCTTCTTGTATTTATTCTTCATTGTATCATTCTACTTTTTTGTGTAAACAACGTCATGTAGATGTTATTTCGGTCTAAACACCAAAAATAATGACGGGACACCTTGTATATGAAAGTATTTTAATTTTATCAAGTGTAAATCTGGAGGACTGTATATTGCATTTGAATTTGTTATCTCAGTATTGTTTTTCCTTTTAGAATTGTGTAATTACACAATTTTTATTTCAATTTTATCGATTTTGTAAATTGTTTATTTAGATTTGTGCATTAATAGTGCGTGTTAAAGCGTAGGGACATCTGGTCCTTTGGAGTAAGGAGTTTTATCAGGCGAAATTTAATTAACGCACGTGTTGTTATCGCTGTTAAGTTATACAGGCGTTTTTACGATGTGAGCGTTATTTCGGCGTAATTGGGGAAGCGGAACGTGTTGCTTCGAAGCTTGCGTTATCCAGTATAATTGAGATTGGCGATGGATTTAAAAATCAACGTAAACACGAGGCTACGAGCATGGCCTAATAAGAGTAGATATATTAGGCCATGGCTACCAGTTCCGCGCAGGCCGAAGATCGTGTAAATTTGACGCTAAATCTCGAGCGTTTCTGTCTGTTTTGGTGA